AACAAAATCGTTCTTTCCGTGTAGCGTTAACAAAGAAACGATTATGTTTTACTCCATTAATGTATAAGAACGCATATAAAAAGAACTTTTGTTTTGATTCGTACTACAACAACATATCCGAAGCTCATGAAACCTGCATGTATTTCTTTATAAGTTGTAATTAACGTGGAAGCCGAAGACATCTATATAAAGACAGGCTGATCGATAGTGTAAACAACATTTCGCGTTACATTGAAGCGCAGGAGAGAATGAAAGAAGGAAGACGTCTTTCTGGAGGCGAAAAGCGAACGTTATTTTGTTTTATATAAAACAAATTGTTTTATATAAAAGCTATAGAGTGTAAATTATGAATAGAAAAATCAAAGACGGTGATACAGGTTTAAAAGTGACGAATAGCGATCGAGGCAATTAAACAAGGTTTTTGTTACAATTGCGGTAGCTTTTCTGACACGAAATTTCAGAATAGTAATTAAACAGCAGAATTTGTCAGACTTGGATAACAGTGGTGTATACATACGCCTGCTGAAACTATTCTCCGAGTTACACGTGAATTTATTTTCCTGCGCGCAAACTAGCTAGTAGGTGTACTCGTGGGCGTTAGAATGCACGGTATATCGAGTTTCACATAGTTTGTTCATTCAGTAATTAATTTAGTTTATCATGCCATTATTTTATTTTTTTTTTATATATAACGGATCGAACGAGAGTTTCGAGTTTAACTAACTTGAGCAACTGGAGAATTCTATTAGGAAATTATATTGAAAGATTGTGGCGAACGGTGGTAGAAGATTGCGATATAGATCTTCTAAAAACTCGCGCCATGCAAGAGCGAACTTGTATCTAAGACGAAGTATTTTCCCAGCGAGCGATCTTCCCTCACGACCCTGAATTATTAATAAAACGGTATACATATTATAAAGATGTACGTAGCGACCTGACGTGGGGATACTTCGTTTATCTTAATCGACGCACAAATTATATATATGTATTTCATCGTGTATCTCTATCACGAACGAAATCAACTTCGAAAGCGAAAACCTAATTTCGAAATTTTTTCCCAAACTTTAGTGTAATCTCAAAGTATCAAGGGTAATAAAAATGTATTTTTATTATGTAGAATGAAATGTAAAAATTGTAAAGAATGCGTCATTCTATTCATGTCTTGTTAGTGTTTAAAATTCAGCCACCACTAATTGCTACTGTTATAGTTGATAAATATTCACAAGGATTTTTCGAAATTTTAAAGGAGTTTTATATATATAAAAACTTTAATATATATATAAAGACACGATTTAGAAAACTTTACCCCAAAAGAATAGCGTCGGCTATGTGTAAGGGATTTCTCTACTTCTGATCAGCACGGATCTCCAATTCCTTCGTCTGCGCATCTCCTTCCGGATTCAGGGGTATGGGTTGGAAAGCAGTAGTTATTACCAAACCAAGGGAGGGTTGATCGATAACCTATTTTTCTGCGGCTGGCGTGGCGCCAGAATTCTTGACAAGTAGTTGCTGACTCTTTGACATCGTAAACAGTATAAAGCCCCGATCTCGAGATAGCTCGTAAATATTTTCGATTTGAATACCCGACAAAGTTCTGCGTGACATTGGTTTAAGTCGACGAACAGCAGCGATAGCTACAGAGACTACAACGATCACGGTGATTGCGGTGACGGTGCTTCTGTCTCCGGTGTAGTATTTAATAGTATTTAAATTGATGCGAAAATGTAAATTACATTATTTACATTTACGATAATGTCTTAAGCAAAGTAATAGCGCAAATCGACAGAACACTATCTGATCGGCAATATAATTAAAATCACAGTTTTTCTAGAACAAATTTATTTTGGAAAATAGCTAGTAAAAATAACTTTCATCTTTAGAAAGATGTTTCACGGAGTTATAACGCGCTGTGGATGTATTTCTAAGAAAAAATATTTTCTGTCCCGTTTTTATTACTTTATTAATTATATTATATAATATAATTAGAGAGCTTACAGTTTGATTAGTATATATGAAGAATTAATTAATTTTAAGCTACTTACTCATCAAATTATTATCTGTTTTAAAGAAATATTTTTGTAAAAGTTCTTTATGCGTTATGCAAAATAAATATTAGACATTAATATAAAATTAATAAATAAGATTCTCCTCTTCATTTTGTACAGATTAACGTTATATAAGTATTTTCGCAAATATACTCCAGATGATCCAGAGAATAACAAATGTAAGTACAATTTTGAACGTTTGATGAATCAAGTAAAATCTGAAATTTATAATTTTATTCTTAAATATGAATTTAATTTAATTTAATTTAAATAAAATTAACTAAGAATTGTTCGAAATCTGTTACCTTTTATATCTACTACGACTGATTTCCAAAGTACTATCGTCTTCTTTGACTAGATAGAGGCGTATGCCCTTGTAATGATCAACGAGGTACTTCATCCAGTCAAAACCTTTCATATGGAACTCAAACAATTGCTGATCTTTGTCACTCAGCCGATTCCACATTGCGTCAACATTGTGATCAGAGAAATTGAACCGATTCAACATGAAGGGTGCGATTGCGTTGGAATATTTGTGGATCTTCCTATATAATTTCCACAATCTAAAAAATATATAAATTTATTATTATTATCTTTTATTTTACACATATTACATAATATTCGTTTGATTGTTATGATTGTGAAATATACGTTATTAAATATCCTTTTAGAAATTAAATATTAGAAGTGATTAATTATTTACATATTTCAAGTAAAAGAACTGAATAACAGTATTTCAAATATTTAAATAATTAATTTCTAGTATTAAATTGATCAATATTAAAATGAATAACTTTAAAAATAACAGATAAGTTTTTACGATACCTCGGACGACGGTTCATGCAGATATTTACGGCGTCCATTAGAAACGCTGGGAGCAAATGACCAAGCCAAATACAAATTTTATACAATACTTTGTGTGGTATTAATTTGAAAAATGGTATCCATATTGCCTCTTTGAAAGGGTACAATTTATTTAAAGAAAACATTTTATTAACATATTCATACCAAGTCGGCGAATCCATTGATACAAAATTATAAATTAATGTAGTCTCTCCTTTTCTAAAAGAAAAATTAATTTATCTAAGCTGCGGAATATAATGTTTTAGCGTTAAAATGTTGCTGAATATTCACACAATATTTTATATGATACGTTCTCGTATTAAGTATTCTAAAATTAAGTTAATCACAGATTATATTAAAACATGTTCTATTTTTTTAATTACGTGAAAAAATTATTTAGAGATTACATAGATTTATGATCATACTTCCATTGGTTAAAGACATCCCATGCGCTGGCAATTAAAGCATTTGCAGTGAAATCAACGGGTACTATATTTGTTACCAAATTTCCATTTGCTAATTGAAATCTCTGTAAACCGGCTGCCGCAGGTATTATAATTCCACTTGGTCCATAAAGATTATCGATCCATCCAGCGAGTGGTTCATTAGCGCTATTTGTAACTGAAAGAAATATTTTTTTTCCATATTCAAAAATTTCTATTCAAACGATGCTAATCGTAATTTTTTCTCGCTACATGTTCTTACTTTATTACTTCTCATATTTCTCATAATTATTATTATAGTTTATTAGTATATAATATTAGTATATAATATTATATTAGTATATAATATTATATTATATAATATTAGCATAATTATTAGTATAGTTATAAAAGGCAATAATTGCATTATTGATGATATTTATACATTACAAATATATTTTGTGAATTATGTAATATATATTTTTTGGAATATTGCAAGAAATACTATTATCATAAAAAAATAATGTTAAGTATATGCAAATTTTATTCATTGATAAATAATTGATTAATTTAAGTAATTTTGTATCTGAGATTAATCTATTGTGTAATGTTATGGCATAATTTTATGGATATTGTAATATCGCAAAACAAACAATTTTGTAAGCGGTTATTAATAATTATACACGAATATGACTCAGTAAATTTTTTAGCGGAAAATCTACTTCTATAATTTCTATAATTAAGTATTTACTTATGGCAGGTCGATATATTCCTATTGGTAAATTTCCACATTCGTCTCTGAGAAGCGCTTCTGCAATTGCTTTAGTGAATGTATATGTATTCGGCCATTGTGAGGCGATTCTGTGAAAACAAATTTCAACAATTTTACAATTTTCTACATGCTTATAATATTAATTATTTTATTGTACTAAGAACAAAGTAAATACGCACTTGGTTACCTTCTTCTCCATTTCATTTTCCGATAAAGTACGTGAAAATGTAATGAGATCTTTGTGATTAATAGGATATGTGTAGAAACATTCGTCGATATATTTTAAATGACAATTCGAATATGCGGTTGATACGTGAATAAATGACTGTAAAATAAATATCAATGTTTATTTAATATAAGTGTATATTGAAAGTATTTACTTTTAAAATAGGCAGATGAACAAAAATTATGAACTCTATATACGTACTGGAAAAAGACCTTCTCTATGCTTATGTTTAACAGGGGGAAGGGAGGAGGAAGGAGACGGCTGACTATGCGACAGTGACAGTTATGCAAGTTGGGTAAGTGCATTAAAATCAGTGAAATGAGACAGTTGATTGTATGAGAGTCACAGTTATAATGCGATTAAGGAAACGTTTGCTTTATTTCAATATGTATCTAAATATCTTAAATTATATATTAAAGTAAGGCAGATGTTCTCCGATTTGCGTAATTGTTACAGACTTGCATAATTTGCATAGTTGAATGCCCCCCAGATATAAGCTCGAGAAAAGGTTCTCTCCAGAACGTATAGGGTCCATTAATAAAAATTAATAACTTTTTCTAATTATATACTGCCCAACAAAAATAATTTTTTTTTCAAACACAAAAATGAGTGTAATCATTTTCTATAGTTTTTTGGATGCCGAATACACATCCCGTTTATCAAATTGCTCAATCTCGTCACAATTTTGAAAAATTTACGATTACGTACAGTTGCAGAAAAGAGCCATTTTACACAGCACTATCATAATTAATATTTTAAATACTATTGGAAGAAGATTTACCTTTAAGTTTGGCATACGTTTAGCAATATTTAAAATCGTATCGGTAGAATTCACGTTTATTATTGTAGAAACTTTAAATTTTTCTTCAAAACGTACATTTGCTGCCACATGAAAAATTATGGATACCTGTAATTAATATGATATAAAGTAATGTTTTAAATATATATTTAAAAAAAATAGAAGAAATGGTTTATTTTTGTGATTATTTTAATAGGTACAGTTAAATTTATGTAAAATGTGTAACAATATGCATATGTATAACAAGTATAATTTGAATTATTTACCTCACGTATTAATATGTTCTTGTCATTTTCCGATAATCCTAAGCCGTCAATTTCAAGATCCCCTATGATTGGCAAAATTTTTTTGCGGAAATTGGGTACTTCCTCTTTCACTCGATCATAAAGCTACAAATTACAGATTTATATAACAAAGTTTTTTACAAGTACATTATGTTAGTTTAATGTCGTTTGATTTATTTACCACATTCTTAAACATTTCGTCCAATCGACGTTCGGAACTTTGATTTTCTTTCGGACGTATTAATAAATATATCGTTGTAATATCGGAACAGCTCCGTAATAATTTTTCGATTAAAGCCTTTCCGAGAAATCCGGTGCCCCCTACGAAATACATCTTAAAAAAAACCATGCTAATTCGATAATCGAATTCATTACTGCTCCTTTTACTGATTAGTTCTTTCGCTTTTTTTATTTTGTATTGTGAGAATAATTGTCAGAGATCGTGTTTTGACAGTTTAGATTATCATAATTGCGTGATCTGCTTATTTGCATACTTGTATGTTTGTATATTTGAATTTTGTGTAGGTATAATATTGAAAGTTAAATAGCGCATGCGTAGCCACTATTAATCGGAGTTAAAGTTACATGTATAACAGAGGGAAAGATAAAACCAATAGGATTCAACAGTGATCAAAATAATTATATTTAAGTGCACAATATCACTTGCACAGTCACTTTAATTTATTAATGTTCAGAAACTTCGATTTTTCTATTTAACTAGTTTTGTTTTTTCGTTAATTACGTGTAAATGTTCTGCCATGGCAATATTTATGAATATAATATACGTTAAAGTAAATGATTAAATTTTTAATTTATATAACTAAATTATTACCTATAATTTTATAAAAAATTAAAAATTTTGTGTTACGTAATATTCTTTGTATGGTTAATTAAATATCACATGCTTTCAATTATTAAAGTTTATGATTTTTATGATGTTTATAAATAAAATGCGCATCAGCAAAAATGTAAGGAAAGCATGTTAAAAAGTTTTTATATTTTAAGATATTATAATATAATTTAATATAATATATATTATAATGAATAAAGAACGCTATTTTTTAAATGTATTTATTACTTAATTTAATTTATTTAATCGATTTTTTATTAGTATTAACAAACGTTTACATTATGATGCACATACATATTGCATATAATCAATGCGACATACGTGATATCCCTATTATTAAAAATTATCCATTGATTGTCATGGCATTAATTTCATTATTTAATAATTAACAGTGTATTTCAAAATTTTTAAAATTTATTTCAAAATTTTATTGCGCACATTGCATATGCATGCTAAAAATACCTGTAATGAAGACTGATTGTCCAGCGTAAAAATTTTGTATCGATGTTCTATATGCTTCATTTTTCACGTATTTATTATCCATAGTACGTAAAGTTAACATAAAAGGAATAAATATTATTTATTTCGATTTTCCAACTTCTTGATCTTTATCTGCTTGATTTCACGCAACACTGAAGACTGAGAATCACGTGGAAAATTTATTTCATATATAAGCATGCAGTGTTGCGCGCCGCGCGCGCGCGCGCGCACACACACACACACACACACACACACACAAGATGTTGAATATATAATAGTATTCCCTCTCATTTTTTAGGATACAGCTAATTGCATAAAAGACAAATCTTATAAAAACAGACAAAGATAAAAACTTGGCATATCTAAATGTGAAAGAAGTAAGACTAGTGGAACAGCAAAACATAGACAGTGAAACACGTGAACAGTAAATCAATATTATTAATTTGTTACTGCTTGCGTCATTGCTTTATGTACTTGTCTGTAATTGATTTATTCGATTGCTGAATTTTAAAGATTTGAAAATTAAAAATATTGTTGAGCAACCAACATCTAGCCTTGGCCGTATTTAACTCTTTTTCGTCACATTATTTTTAAAAAAGCTTTTAATATTAAATTTGTCAATGGCGAATTGAGATTTTATATCTATTTTTGGACAATTAATTTTTTATTTAACGCTGCATATACTTTTGTATGCATTTTATCCACTCGGCATACATTTTTTTTTACTATTGTTTTTACTTTTTCTATATGCTTCACTTTTTTCACACTCAGACACGCCAAGTTTTTACCCTGTTAAGGTCTATTTTTATAAGACCTTTTATACAATTTACTCTAAAAAATTAGAGAAGAAATATATTGTTATATACTTCAATATTTTATATATAACACATGTTTAAATATAGAACAAATTTTTCATGTAACTCTTAGTTAATCTTTGCTATTGCATATAAATTGAGCAAATAAAAATCAAGATGTTGGAAAACTACTCATAAATAATATTTATCCTTTAATTTATGTGTTAACTTTTTGACTATTGTGAATACATAAAGTTTTATACTGGAATTAATCTTTATTATTGTAATAAAAGAATTAATTCCAGCGTGAAAACCTTATCCACACTATGTTAAAATTAACACAGAAATTAAAGAATTAATATTATTTATAATATTAGTAGGATTCCAACATCTTAATTTTTTTGATTGATTGTATGCAACAGCAAAGATTAATTAAGAATTACATGAAAAATTTATTCCATATACATATAAACATGTGTTACTTATAAAATATTGAAATATATAATGATATATTCCCTCTTTTATTATATTTCAAAATTAGGAAAATTTTGAAATATTGTGAAAAAATTTGTAACTATGAAGACTGCAAACATGTTATAATACTAAAATGCAGTTTTGTTACTTTTATTATATTAAAATTCTTTATTTAATTTCGTGAGTTTATTATAATTTTCCAGGATTTTGTCTTGATTTCAATTTTATGACAAATGACGATTAGCAGCGCATTTCATTGCTTGTATTAACTGCATGATCATCCACACAAACATACTGCACGTGCGTGCGTGCGCGTCAAATCAAGTATTATACGGAGTTTTAAGTAAAAGCAATTGTTTTTCTTCATTTCTGAAAGAAATTTCTACATTTCATTTGAGTTTAGCTTGTTAGCAAAACATGAGTGCGTGTTTATATACTTTCTTAAGTAGAATTCTTCTACTTTCTAAGTAGAATTCTTGATCTATAACTTGACCTTTAAATGTTATAACCAGTATCAAGTCTGTTTCCACCGAGATCAAGCAAATCTTATTTCTTATTTAAAATCTGCAGTAACTTCTCTTTGTATAGCTCAATTCTTTTACATTAAAATAATTATAAATCAGTAAATTAGAATACTTAATGAATAAATCCAATCAAACTTCATCAAATAATTGAAAAACAAAGACAATGAGAGTTAGTAAATGGTTCGCAAATTAATAAGAATATGATATTATAATGTCTTTAAATTAAAATAAGTATATATATACATATATATATATTTATATACATACGTATATATATAATAATAATATTTAAAAAAACGGACGGCTAATGTTGTAACCATCTTTCGCATATAATGTTGATGACAATAAGTAAAATAAATAAATAAAATAAATAAGATATTGTAGCGATTGCATCGCCACTACCCCGAATCGTTAGCCTGCGAAAAAGATTAAAAATCCAGCGAGCAAACGAAGAAAATAAAATTCCACAGTCGTGACGTAAAGGTATAAGTTGTAAACAAGTACAAAAACCGGGCCTATAACAAACACGACTAATAAACACGCAAGAGCAGAAGCGATAGGTTGAGCGACCGCGGACAACGAGAAGCCGGGACTTGTCCGACTGTCTCCGTGTAGACTAGACGTGCGTTCTCGGTATCCCGCTTCCTGGAATAAAGCACTTTTCTTGATTTAAATTCTAAAAGACTCTGTTTCTCGATTCCTACCGATTTCTAAATTTCTACCGATCCTTCATCCGCCCACAAAGCGTTACTCGATTTACGAAGAGATACCGAATTAATTCCTCGCCGCGCAAAGGCGAGCACCAAAATATAAACGTCATGTCGTTAAAAGTAATGAATAATATTAATTACGTTGTAAATTGTAATTGAAATTATTCTGTCCAAACTCGCTGCATCGGTTGGAATTTCTCGGTTATTCATTTCTCACGAGATGTAATAATTAAGACTTTCATTTCATATGTAGATTGTAGTCAATAGTAAAACGTATATAAGTCCAAAAAAACGAAATGTCATGGTCAGAAGATAAAAAGTAAAGTTAATAAATTTAGTAATAATCATAGTCTTCAGACAGTTCGAAGTGAACAAAAGTGTTTGTATATTTACTTCGAACTGTGAATATTATCGATTATTACTAACTTCATTAATTTTAATTTTTATATTTTCTGACCATGACATTTCTATTTTAAATTTATACACGTTTTTTCTTATATAATAGTGTATTATTTTTTATTTTAAATAAAAATTTGTTTAATTTAAAGATGTCGTAATTTTATTAATTTGCTCACAACTTACCGCGCTAATTGCCTTTATTTTTTAATTGTTTGATTGTTCTTTTAGATTTTTTAAACACCACTGATCGTAGTAAGTCATTCTTGCAAAAACCAAAAATACAAGACAGTTACGTTCAAACCGCGAAATTAAAAGGAATTATTTGAAAAGAGAAAGATTTGTAGCGATATAGAAGAACATATTAGATTAGACACTTTGTCTCGTAAATTTTCGAGGCATTATATATTTATAGACATATATAGGCTCATTGTCTTTCATAATTTGATATCTTAATAGAATTAATATTATGAACAATGGAATGCCACGTGCATGTTGGAATTTTTCAGTCATCGCTGATCCCGCGCATCGAGTCTCCGCGCATTTATTATAGAGACAACATATTTATCCTATTGCTGAATATGTTATTTACTTATTTACATATTTAATTAATTTTTTTCTGGGTTTGACGTTCTCGATACGTGTTAATTCTGAATTTTATCGCAAATCAGACGTTGGAGCGGCCTTGCGTCAAGGCGCGGAGCGTTCTTTATTTAATTGTAACATAAATAATTGTGTAAGCACTTAAACGTATAGATACTCTAATTAAATGAAGAACGCTCCGCCTTGTATGATTGCCCTCGTATGATTGTCGATGCGCAGGATGGCCGATACGACCGAGGACATCCAATGAATTAGAACTTAGAAATGCTGTGATCGTCGCCTAGCGGTAATAAATGGATATAATTTTAAAATTTTTTCAAATCAAAACTTAAAAATATAATAATCTGATGCGAAGATCACCATAACTGGTTTTTATTAAGTCACAATGAATGATTGCATTGTATAAATAAACATCCGATTTAATCGGATATAAAAAGAGTATATAAAAAGACAAGATCCGACAAGCAGGGACAGATTTCCTCGCGCGAGCGAGCTTACCGCACCGATCCAGAAGCTCCGCCACACACTTCCGATATCCAGATATTCTTCACTTAGTAAGTTGACGTGAAAAAGGAAGCGAAGGAGTTTCTTGCCTCCGCTGCGGACGTTCCCGGTAATTTACTTAATAATCATGATCCTTCATTGATTTGTGATTGCTACAGAGGCTATTGCTACAGGACGTTTTCCGATCCGGCCAGAAGTTATCGGCTACTATCGCTACCGACATAACACTCACTTATTCCGGACTAACCAGTTTTGCAAGCATAAAGCGAAGGTAGGCCGTTTTCTGTCGCTACTGGAGTTTACCGGCTGCGTGTTTTCGCATTACAAACCAATCACATAATGCATTCCTCGACACATTCAGAATCTAAGTTCTCGCTGTTCATCCGCGAATTACATTACGAGCGCCGTCATATCGCGCCTCGCGTCTTATTGCGACTTACACCGAGAATTCGCAAATTGCAGATGAACGATCATGCGTTGCGCAACACGCGCGCGTACACGTGCGTTTGTTGTAGAACGATCTTTTAAACCTACAATTAATATCATAACACGCCTCAAATAATTCACGCGTCATGTAAATAAGATTGTAACACATCCTATCATTTAGCATCATTTAGTAAATTTGTAATAAAATCTTATTATATTTTTTAACATTATAAAGTGTCTCTGCATCTCCATCCGGAAAAAAGACAATGACAAATTATAACATTGCAATATAATATGTTTAAAATCAAGCAACATTGCTACAAATATTGAATAATGTTACACATTATTAACATTGTAAAGCTATTGTCCCGAGATAATCATGAATGTATTCAATTCGAATTTTGATAAAGTTTTGCATGCCAAAAATAGCAACAGCGAGATTACAACGGTTCCAGCAATTGTCTCGGTGTTTCCGTATGTGATACTGTTTCGATTGATACGGAAATGTATATTACATTATTTACATTTATGATAATGTCTTAATTAAAATAAAATAAATCGGCAGAATACTATCTCATTGACAATAAAATAATCAAATTTATTGCTTCTCTGGAACAAATTTATGACGAAAAATAACAAACATATTATGGAATATATAAAATACATTATACAAATATTTTTACAAATATACACCAGACGATCCAAAGGATAGCAAAGATGAGTACAGTTTTGAACGTTCGATGAATTGAGTAAAGTCTGAAATTTGTAATTTTATTTTTAACTAAAGTTAAACTTTAACTAAAATAAAATTAACTGAGAATTGTTATAAATTAGATACCTTTTATATCTAATACGACTGATTTCTAAAGTACTATCGTCTTCTTTGAGCAGATAAAGTCGGATGCCCTTGTAAAGATTAACAAAGTATTCCGTCCAGTCAAATTCTTTCATTTGAAATTTAAATAATTGCTGATCTTTCTCACTTAGCCGATTCCACATCGCTTCAACGTTGTGAAGGGAAAAATCCAAATGCTTTAGAGCAAAGCAAGCCACTGCGTCGGAATATTTGTGGATTTTCGTATATAATTTCCACATTCTAAAAAATACATGAATTTATTATAATCTTCTGTTTTACACACATATATAATGTTTGTTCAGTTCTGAATATTAAGTATGTGTTACTATGTATTCTCTTACTGAAATTAAATACTGGAAAGTAATTATTAATTACTTGAAGTATAAGGAGCTAAATAACAGTGCTTTTATTATTCAAAATAATTAATTTCTGGAATTAAATTGACCAACATTAAATTAAATTTCTTTAAGAGTAACAGATTTGTTTTTACACAATACCTCGGACGATGGTACATACAAATATATACGGCGTCCATTAGAATCGCTGGGAGCAAATGACCAAACCAAATACAAATTTTATACAATATTTTTTGTGGTATGAATTTATAAAACGGTATCCATAGTATTTTTTTTACAGGATACAATTTACTTAAGGAAGTCATTTTATTAATATATTCATTCCAAGTCGGTGGGTTTGTATCAATTGATACAAAATTATAAATCAATGCAGTCTCTCCTTTCCTAAAAAAAAAAATTGATTTATCTAAGCTGCGAAATATAATATTTTATCGCTAAAATGTTGCTGAATGTTGTTTACACAATATTTTATATAATACGTTTTCGTATTAAGTATTCTGAAATTAGTTAATTACAGATATTATTATAACATATCATTATAACATGTTCTAATCAATCAGTGAATATTTATAATTACGTAAAAAATTATTTATAGATTTATACTAGTACATATATCGATCATATCCGTTCATACTTCCACTGGTTGAAGACATCCCATGCACTAGCAATTAGAGCATTTGCAGTGAAATCGACAGGCACCGTACACATTTTCAAATTACCATCTCCTAATTGAAATCTTTGTAAACCGTGTGCCAGAAATATTGTACCTCCTATTTGTCCATAGATATTATCGGCCCATCCGATGAGCGGTTCATTAGCGCTAGATGTGACTGAAAGAAACATTAATTATTCCTTCTTTCACATTCATAAAAATTTATACTCAAACGTTGCTAATCTCGATATTTCCTCGCTATACATTCTTACATTTTTTGTTAGTTCTGCAATCTCATACACTATATTTAAATGTTATTAAAAGTATTAATTACATTATTGACGATATTTATGCATTAAGAACATAGTTTTTGAAGTACGTGATATATATTTTAGTTCAAGTTTGAAACTTACATATTCGTAATTATCACACATTGGTTTATATATTTTTTGGAAAGTCGCAAGAGATATCATTATTACAAAAAAATACGTCACGTATATGCAAATTTTAATCATGTAGTACTAATGATAACTAATAAACGTCTCATTAACTTTAATAATTTTGTATCTATTTTTAGACGTATTTTTTTGTAATAATGATATCCCTTGCGACTTTCCAAAAAATATATAAACTAATATGTGATAATTACGAATGTAAGTTTCAAGCTTGAATTAAAATATATATCACGTACTTCAAAAAATACATTCTTAATGCATAAATATCGCCAATAATGTAATTATTGCTTTTAATAACATTTAAATATAGTGTGAGATTGCAGAACTAACAAAAATTGTACGAATGTATAGCGAGAAAATATCGAGATCAGCAACGTTTGAGTAAAAATTTTTACGAATGTAAAAGAAGGATCAAAATGAATCTATCTGTAAGATTGTAGAATAATCTTATCGTAATATTGCAGAGAAAACAATTTTGCAAGCGATTATTAATATTTACAACAATATAACTCAGTAAACATTGTAGCCAAAAATCTGTTAATTTCTACAGTTAATCAATTTACTTATGCCAGGTCGAAGTATTCCTATTGGTAAACCTCTGCCTTCCTCTCTTAGAAGCGCTTCTGCAATCGCTTTCGTAAATGTATATGTATTTGGCCATTGTGAGGCAATCCTGCGAAAATAGTTGAATTTTTTATATCATTATAATATAAATTATTTTATTCTACTGAGAACAAAAATAAATACGCACTCGGTCACCTTCTTCTCCATTTCGTTTTCGGATAAAGTATGTGTCAATGTAATGAGATCTTTGTGTTTAATAGGATATGTATAGAAACGTTCATCGATATATTTTATATGATAATTCGAATATGCGGTTGATACGTAAATGAATGACTGTAAATTAAATATCAATGTTTATTTAATAGTATAATAATAAGTGTATATCACTTTTAAAATGCGGATAAGTGCTCAAAAATCAGTAAGAGCTCTATATGTACTGGAGAGAGCCTTTCCTACGTTTGACGGGAGAAAAGGTGAAAGTGATCGACTGTGCGAGAGTGACAATTATGCGAGTTGGGAAGACTTATGTTTCACTTTAATATGTAATTTAATATATGTACATGTATATGTATAATGAAGTGAGGCAACGTTCTCAACTTGCATTATAACTGTGACTCTCACACAGTTTGCCGCTGTTGTCACTTGAATGCACTTTCCAGCAATATGTAGAGCTTATACAGATAAAAATCAATATTTTTTCTAATTATACTGTCCAACAAAAAATAATCTTTTTTTAAACACAAAAATGAGAGTAATTGTTTGCTATAGTTCTTTAAGTGCTGAATACAATCCTATTTAAAAATTGTTCAATCTCATCACAATTTTGAAAAATTTATGACTATAGTTATTGCAGAAAAGAATTATTTTAGTATAGAGCAATTATCATTATTAATATTATAAATACTATTAGAAGAAGAATTACCTTTAAATTTGGCATATGTTTAACAAAATTCAAAATGGTATCGATAGAATTCACGTTTATTATTGTAGAAACTTTGATTTTTTCTTCGAAACGTGTATTCGCTGCCAGATGAAAAATTATGGATACCTGTAATTTAATATGATATTAAAGAGTAATATATTTTAAATATATAAAGAAAAAAATAGAGGAAATGGTTTATTTCTGTAGGTAGCTATTTTAATAAAATATGTATGTACATATGACAAGTTATATGTAATTTAGATTTACCTTACGTGTCAATATATCTTTCTCATTTTCTGACAATTCTAAGCCGTCGATTTTTAAATCACCCATGATTGGTATGATTTTTTTGCGAAAATTGGGTACTTCCTCTCTTACTCGAGCATAAATCTACAAAGTGTAGAATTTTGTAGCAAGGCTTTATATTATGTTAGCAAGTATATAGAGCTCATTGATAAAAATCAATAATCCTTTCGAATTATACTGTCCAATAAAAAAGGTGATCTTTTTCGTGCGCAAGACAGTAACCGTTTCTCATAATTTTATAGGTACTACAATTTTACTTATTAAATTATGTTAGTTAATGTCTTTTGACTACTCACTATACTGTTAAACATTTCGTCCAGTCGAGTTTCGGGACTTTTATCTTTCTTTGGACGTATCAGTAAATATATTGCTTCAATGTCGGAGCAGCTCCGTAGTAGTTTTTCGATTAATACCTTTCCGAGAAATCCGGTGCCCCCTATGAAATTCAATCTTGATAAAAGCCATTGTTAATTCGGTAGTCGAATTCATTGTTGCCCTTCTACTTATTACTTCTCTTACTTTTCTCACTTCGTACTACGAGAGTGACTATCAGCGCAGGAATCATGTTTGACAGTTTAGTTTATCGTAATTGCGTAATCTGTATACTTGTATTTATATATTTATATATTTGATTTCTGTACATAATATATACATAATATAATATGGAAAGTTAAATAATGCGCATGTAGCCGGAATTATAGTAATACGAATAACAAGAAAGATAAAATGAGTACCATACAGCAAAAATATTTAAAATACATCTTACAAGGGAACACACAGAAGTGTTCCCCTCCGATTTCAAGGAGCTCTGGATATGTTAAACTACAGACAAAAATAAGCTACTACAATTTTTTTATACGTGCTGAGTCGCACGTTAAGGGGATGAAACATCCCTTAGAAAAAAATCGGTTTTTTTATTTCAATAGGAATATCGTCAAAACTACGAGAGATAGAAAAAAATATTTCTAATAAAAGTTGAATGGTTTTAAGAGTACTTTATAATTATAATTTAAAATAATTTTTTTATTGTTTATATTTTTGTTTAACCCCCACCACCCAACATTTTTCTTTAATTTTTCAAAATTTTTTTTACCAAATGAAAGAGTATTTTAAGACAAATTCAACCCTGTGTGATAAAGTTATTTTCCGAAGTATCATTTTCCAGAAATAATTATAAACGCCTTTGTACGCATCATCCGTACTCGTTTATGCGCTAATTTATTTACGTGAACTTGGCACCCCTTTGTTACTAAAATAAATTTACAATAAAAAAAAGGCTAGTATTTTGTTTGTAGTTGTTTGTATTAGTATAATTTCGTTTTAATCACTTATTTTTAAAGATATGTACATGTGCCTTGCTTTGTACAAAAATTGAAAAATGTTTGGATATACATATATATTTTTACATGTTTAACAACAGAGTAAGGAGCTAATGTTGGCACTCCGGTCGAATATTAATAATAATTGAAGTAATATTTACAAATTTATCGAGTAAAATAATATTTAATTAGCTAAAACTTTAAAAAAATATACTTTAAAGAAAAGAATGCTTAATTTATTACCGATATATAATGGATGTTATGATATTGAGACAAAATGAAGTGAGAATATTCACGTATCCAGAAATTTTAACCGGCAATATATGTCAATGCGGACATATGTAATATCTCTTTTATTAAAAATTATGCATTAATTGAATATGACATTCATTTTATTATTCAATGATTTAACGAATTTAACTATTTTAAATTTATATTTCATTGTACACATTGTACATGTATATTAAATACCTGTAATAAAGACTGACTGTCCAGCGTAGAAACTTTGTATTGATGTTCTATGTGCTTTATTTTCCACATTTTGTTTATTATCCATAATGTGTGAAAAAAACTAACACAAAGATTAAGAAATATTATTATTATAAATTATTAGATATTATAAATTATAATACTATTATGAATATTATTAATTGATTCTCCGAATCGAGCAAATAAAAGAAAAACTTCTTTTATTTGCTCGATTTTAAGTAATGTCGAAGACTGAGAATCATGTAAAAAACTTTCGCCTTTTATAAACGCATGTGCTACATGTACAGGGTGTTCTGAATTTAAATGTTAAACCTTCGGGAGCGTGCAGGGGATCGATAAACCATAAAAAGAAAATTTAGAAATATTCTCGTTTTTTATTTGTTGTGCAGAAAATTGCAAACAAAAGAAAAAACATAATTTTCATTTTTTGTATTTTATTTATTATTTATTCATTAAATACTTATTTATTTATATTGTCTGTTCCTTATCGATAGGTTTGTTTAAAATATAAATACACAAAAACCACGTCAGCTTATTTAACGTTAAAATATGTACACGACATATTGTAATAGGAGTAATTTACTTGATGGTTTCTGAGTAACTGACGAATTTACTATAGAAGAAAGATAGAACTGATGTATACAAACAAAAAAGTTTTCATTGGAAAACGGATTATTATATTGTTTACAATTTCTACGACGATAATATTTCAGAGGTGATGCAAGAATATGCGCACCAATTTTCATATGGAACAAAAAGTCATTTATACTGTGTCATTAAAGCACATTTTGAATAAATAATAATTATAAGGAAGTGACAACGTAAATAAATAAATAAGAATAAATAAATAATAAGTAAGTACATGGCAAAAATGAAAACAACGTAGTTTTATCTTTTTTTTTGCGATTTTCTTCAAAACAAAGCAAGAACAAATATAACTCTAAAGGACTTTTTTTCTCAGTTTATTGATTCCTTTACACGCTCCTAAAATTTTGATATTCAAATTCGGGACACCTTATATACATATATAAGCCGTTAGAATATATAGGATGTACTCAATGGTACAGCGCTTGTGGGGAGGTAGTGTGGACCAAACTGAACAAAAAAGTCCTCTACCATTTTACGTCTTCGCAATAGTTATCGAGATACTAATCATTAAAAAAAGTTTACGCCAAGTATATACAAGT